ATGTTTGGAGATTTTAGCTCCAAGCATACTGAATGGACATGCCGTACTACCACCCGTAGTGGCAAGAAACTGCTCGATATCACGCAGTCTCTTGACCTTACCGTCCACAGTCTCTTCGGTGCTACTCACTATCCCGATAACACCGACCATGCCCCCGATGTACTAGATTTTGCGTTACTCAAAGGAGTTTCTCTCAACCTCAGAGCAATCGAGACACTAGACGATCTAGGATCCGACCACCGACCGGTCTCCCTCACTCTTGGCCATCAGCCACCTCCCCCAACACCCCCAACGAAAACCTTCACTAATTGGAAGGGATTCAAGGAGTCCCTAGCAAAAGCTTTGGACTCCCCCATCCCCCTATCATCTAACTTAGACAGTCCCGAAAAAATCGACACCGCGATCAATTCCCTCTCCACCCTCATTAAATCCTCCCTTAAGGAGAATGAAAGGGTCGTCCCGGTTGCTAATAATAATGGGCTTCCCCTACATATTAGGAACCTACTAAAAGCCAAAAGAGCTGCTTTCCGGAAAGCAGCTCTCAACCTGTTGACACCTCATACATCCAGGCAGTGGAGGATGAGGTCCGCCGCCGGAACTCACCCCCTACAGCCTCTGACCCTATCACGGTGTCAAATGATGAGATTTCATCCCTCATCAAAGGACTTAAACCCAAAAAGGCTCCTGGCGCGGATGGCATCTCCAACCAAGCCCTAAAACACTTTTCTGAGCAGGTATAAACTCTTTTAAATATTATCTTCAATGCTTGCGTTATTTTCCTTGGAAAGAGGCAACTATGATTGGTATTCGCAAGCCAGGAAAGCCTCTCAACTTCCCTTGCAATCATCGCCCCATTAGCCCCCTGAAGGCCATGGGCAAGCTCTTCGAAAGAGTCATTCTTACTTGCATGAGGCTCCATCTGTTTCCCACAGACGGTGACCCTATTGTCATCCCCCATCAATTTGGTTTCCGAGCGAAACACTCTTGTCCCCAACAAGTTCACCGCATTGTGGAATATATCCTCAGCGGTTTTTATCCTCATCGTCATAAGACCATCGCGGTCTTTTTCGACATAGCTAAAGCCTTCGATAGAGTCTGGCATGAAGGCCTTATCTTCAAACTTTATAGTATAGGTCTCCCCGATCGTGTAGTACGTCTCGTGGCCTCTTATTTACAGCATCGTACCTTTCATTTTAGACACGAAGGCACGCTCTCCTCTCAGCGCCCCATAAAAGCTGGTGTCCCTCAGGGCTCAGTACTTGCTCCTCTCCTGTACATTTTGTTCACTAACGACATTCCCATCCCGTCGAATGGTGTTCAGCTCTCACTTTTCGCAGATGACACTGCCCTCTATTGTAAAGGTATCTCGCTACCTTTCATACGGAACAAGATCCAAAAGTCAGTCAATGACCTAGGAGCTTGGTTCCAAAAATGGCGCATCGATGTGAACCCCGGAGAAGAGCTCCGCCGTTCACTTCGATTATAAACGACGCCGACTCAAAAACACTCCACCAATACGTATGCTAGGGACCCCTGTCCCCTGGCATACGTCTGCTAAATATTTAGGCGTCACCTTTGATATGAGGCTCACTTTCAGGCCCCATGTCAAAAGAGTAACCCGTAACGCACGTTTGTACCTCAGTAGGCTCAACAGTATATTGGGCCGATACAATAAAATGTCCCTCCGTAACAAGCGAACCCTTTATAAGGTCTGTATATGACCAGTCATGTCCTACGCGGGCCCCTATTTTTGCCCACACTGACCCAAAAGCTATTAATGAACTCCAAGTAGTTCAAAACCTCTACTGTTGTCGAGCTGCAAACGCACCTTGGTACGTCCGTAATGCCGACCTACATCGGGACTTAGAGCTCCCTACAATCCAGCAATTCCTAAAAACACTCTCTGAGAACTTCTTCAAAGCCTCAGAGTCGCATTTCAATCGTTTTATTCGTGAGGCAGCTTACGCAGCCCCACCTCCCTCTCGTTATTGAGTCCGCAGGCCGAGAAACTCTCTCTCGGACCCGCCAAATAAAATTTCAACCGACCTGAACTGCCTCCTGATGGCTCAGGCCGACTCTTCTTAAATATGCCTAAGTAGGCTCTCCCTCAGCGGCTCTTTGTAGCCGCATGCGCCCTCTTCTCCCAAAAGAGGGTCGCTTCCGATCCGGCAAAGCGGCTTAGTCAGCCATATTTTGCATGTCCCAAAGGCGGTTTTTAGCGGGTATCACTTAGGTCCCCCCGTAGGTAGATACAGTGAGTCCCGCATAACCACGACAGACCGGCTGTTGCGGTATGCATAAATGCAATTTCCGCCTCCCAACGAAATGGGTAGCCCTTTTCCAATAGCTTCTGGGCGCTAAAAAAAACTATAAGTACAACTGGGAGCATTGGCCGGTCCCCGTGTAGAACACCTTGCCCAGCGGGAGATATCCGCTTTTCCTTCCTTCAGTTACAAATTTATGTGTAATGGTTTAACTTATAGAACCTCAATACAAAATTTGAACTAAATCCAAGGGGGCTAATTTTTCTCATATTTTTATATGAAAGCTACCGAACACGCATATCTCATAGTCAGACATATGTATATGTGTGTAGATCGGGCGCAGCTTCTACCGAAGTACTTACAATTGCACAATGTTATAGTCCCATATTAAGGACTGATGATGGTAAGGTCATTGAAACATTGACCTTACCATCTTGCGGTGCGAATTAATGTATAATTACTATTTTATAATAACTCGCCCTTAGTACGTTTTCTCTCTGAAATATTTTATATTCATGTCTAATTACTATAAATATGCTTCGTTACTTCGACACTTTTATACATGTTCCCATTTAAATCTATGTTTTCATATGTAATGTTTTATTTCAATCTTAAATTATGCTCGGAGTTTATCCACGTATTAAGATAGATTTCGTCATTAAAACATCTACAGTAGAACTCTTGTAAATGTAAGCGAAATGTCAGATGTTAAGGAAGTTTTTTTTTCACGTGGTAGAGACATGCTGCAGCTATATTTTTTTTTAATTTAAATCACATTTCATCTGCTGTTGTTTCTTTTACAGCACCTTTTATACGTTTTTTTAAATTATTTTACTTTAAACATATTATACTTTGTTTTTATAATTTTTTTTTAAATAGTTTTTAATTAACACTTACATTTTTAAAACTAATTACAAATTATCATGTATTCCGCTACTCTTTTTCAATGTTTTACGCTAATTACATTATCTGTTTGAAGCTAATTACATTAACTGCTTCATTTTCTTATCTTTTATTATTTACAATGATCCTTTTATTTCTGTTAGTATAATATCCTTCCAATCAACTATTTTTACTGTACAATTTCATTGACATAACTTTACATATTTTCTGTATCTTGATGTGAGTATTTCTTTTTCTTTTTTTTTATTTGTTATTTGTTAATAATAGTATAGGAAACATTTTTTTACACATGCTTTTGCACATATTATAATATAGTTGAACTTATTACTAATTATTATGTGTTTCGCTATTAAATTAATATTTTACTCTAAGTACATACATAGTCTGTTTTAATCTACTTCCATTAAACTAATTCATTTCTTTTTTTCTACTATTTAAAACAATCCTTTTATTTCTGCTAGTATTACTACGTTACTTTGTTCATTTATTACTTTGTGGTTCTAAATGTGAGTATAAAAGTTTTATTATTACTATTTCCCATATTATTATTTTCAATATTTGTTATTTGTGTTTTGAATTATTCTCTTTGAGAATGATTTCAGTGCTTTGTTTTGCGAATTTTAGAAAGTGAAATCGACTGTCATCGCTGTTAATAGCTTTAGATAAGGTTTCCTCTTTTAGCGCAAAGCCCATACTTTGCTCGCATGAAAGTCTTGCATAAGCAAATTTCGGACAGTCTAAAAGGATATGCTCTAGTTTGATTATGACAGCTATAGTAGGGGCTTTGTGACAACTTAAATCTAAACAGTATGATATAAAGCCTCCGTTACCTGTCAGAATTTGTGAAATGAAATCGTTCATTTTTACTTTACACATAGTTTTATATGCTTCTCTTATACAAGGAAAGAATTTTCTTGTCGTAGACCCTGTGTTGAATGTGCTGTACCTTTCTTGCCACCTTATAATTGAGTTGTCCCTGATTTGACGCTTTGCAAAGGACAGTGGGAAACAGTCGTAAGTCAGCGCTTGCTTAGACGTCTGCGCTGCTAATTTCGCCAATTCGTCAGCTCTTTCATTCCCTGGAATTCCACAATGAGCTTTAATCCAGAAGAACTTCACCTCGCCTTGGTTGTTACGTATTTCCTCTATATCTTCTAGAATTTCAGCTACCAGAGGATTAAGAGTGCTAGGATTTGAAAGGCTTTCCAGGGCCGACCGAGAGTCACTCAGTATATTAGACTTACTAAATCCCCGTTTGCTTTTTATGATACTGAGTGCCTTCAATATTGCAACTAGTTCCGCCTGGAAAACGCTGCAGTGATTACCTAATTTTATTTTTACCTTGTGGGTTTCCCTTCCATTTTCCCAGCAGCTTACAGCGGCCCCAACCTTTCCTGCGATTTTACTACCGTCAGTATAGATAGCAGGCCAGTTGTTTTCTATCATTTCAACATCCTTTTCTGTATATATGTCAATGTAAGTCTCTGGGACACGGATCGCTGGATGTGGAAGGTTAAAAGGACTTATTGGTATGGCAAGTTTTCTCCCTGGTAGTTGCTCAATGGACTTTCCTCTTTTTATTTCGTATATGTCTAGTTGTTCTTGAGCTCTTAAGTCTAGTGGTATAATTCTTGCTAAGGTGGCACAGGAAGTTAGCGAAGATGTTCGATGAGCCTTACAAATCATAATACAGAATACTCTCTTAATAGTATCAAGACGTTTGCGTATCTGTATTCTTGATGCTTTGTTTCCCCAGCAAGCTGCCGCGTATAACATTGTAGGCTCTACGACAGTGATGTAAATAGTCCTAAGAATTTCCGAGTTGAGTCCCCATTAAGCTCTTTCTGTTTTTAAAACCTTTTTGTATAGCGCTATAGCTTTTTCTGTGGTGTCTTGTAAATGTTTTACAAAACTTAAATTTCTGTCGATGTTCTTGCCGAGAATTTTCAGGTTTTCACTGAATACTATATTGGTATCATTGAGCTTTAAGTTAGGCATTTCATATTTATATTTCTTTGTTATGAGAATAGCTTGCGTTTTATGTGCCGCGAAGCTCATTTTCCTAGAGAAGCCCCAATTAGATATTCTATTTGGCGCTGTGTTGATTTTATTTTCTATTATTGATGCTGTTTTCCCAGTCCCAATTAATATAATATCATCGGCATAAGCCTGCACGTGTACATTCCAGGTCTCAGCTTCTTGAAGCAGGGAATCCAGCAGGATGTTCCACATTAGTGGTCCGCAGATAGATCCTTGTATGCAACCTTTATCTGTGCTCCTTCCAATTTCTGTGTTGGCGTACCTAAGTGTAATAGATCTGTCAGAGAGATAACTATCTATAAGTTTTAAGGTTGCTTTATCGATTTACTTCTTTTGTAATTCAACAATCACTCCAGGCCACCATGCGTTATCGAAAGCACCCTCTATATCGATCGAAATGATTACCGCCATCTCCTTGTTCTTTACGCATTTTTTGACAATCTCTAGTGCGTCGTACAGTGCATCTTCTGTCCATCGCTGAGGAACAAAGCCGTATTGTCGGTTACTTAGTTGACTGTGACGACCTATCTGCCACGTTAGTCTGGTCACGAACAGTTTTTCAAGTACTTTCCCCAGTATTGGTAACAGGCCAATCAGACGATAGGATTTTGCTAGGGTGTAATCATCTCTATTAGGTTTTGGTATAATACGGATTATTGCATTTTTCCAGATTTTCGGAAAGTAACCAAGTGTGAGGCATTTGTTAAATATCTTCAGGAGAATGGCGGATTCGGCTGAGTAGGTCTTGTAGCAAATGTCAGCGGTAAATCCGTCCCCTCCTGGTGATTTTTTTGGACTCATATTCATAAATATGGTCTCTACCTCTGTGGCAGTATATGGTATAATGGGATCGTTTATTATACATTCTGATAGACGTCTTCTTATACTTTCCGCTTCTGTTCTTATTTTTATGTTGTTCAAATCATCTTTTGAAGTATCATCTGTTGGATAGAAAGTTTTAGCTAATAGTTCGGCGGATTGAGTAGGAGACAAGATATCTGTTGATGATGATGGTCTCAATAATGTATCATCCCTAGCCTTGGAGTTCTTGCGGATAGCCCTGTATATACTTTGCCACATGTTCTCTCTATCTTGTCTCGTGCAAAATTGTTTCCAACTCTGGGTCATAGCGTCGGTTATGAGATTTTTATATTCGTCTTTAGCCTGTATGTATACTTCAATTACGAAAGTTTTCCTTCTTGGATTAGCTTGTTTTATCCTTTTCCTTTTCCTTATTACCTCCTTTTTCTTTGCGTCCAGCTCTAAGGTCCACCATGGTGTTTTTTTAAATATTTTCCTTGATAGTTTTGGAATAACATTCTCACAAGAGGTATGTATGCATTCACTGTAAATGTTAGCGCATTGTTCTAGGAGTTTTGGAGTATCTATAGAGTCTATAAATTCTTCGAAAATTTTTGAAGATTTAAGTTCCTCTCTTAATTTCACTGTAAAGATTTCCCAGTTTGCCTTTTTCGTATTATATATACGTGTTGAGATTCGTTGTTATGTTTCATCTGTTACTTTCAAAATGTTAAGCTCAAAAGTTATTGCTCTATGGTCAGACAGGGTGACTAGGTCTGGGTCCACTTTCCAGCTTTTTATTTTCTTTTATAAGCTTGATGTGCATGCGGTAACATCAATGATACTGGTATATTCTCTATTAACCCTGCATGCATGAAAAGTTGATATATGTCCCTCATTTAAGATATGTACATCCAGTTGTGCTAGGATTTCAGCCACTGCTCCCCGACTGTCCTCCACATTGCAGCCCCACCAAGGACTCTTTGCGTTAAGGTCTCCTCCCAGTATGACGTATTCGGTGTTCAGAATGTTGATGAAACTGGTAATTTTGCGTAGATCATCTTCAATTTCAGCGTTTTCTTCAAGATATGCATTGACTGTAGTTACACTTAATTTATTTATACTAATTTTACATGCTACTATATTTTCTGTTACTGTCTTTTGATTTATGCTATACTGTATATTTGGATTGACAACAATGACAGCCGATTTAACTGGTTTCTGTTTATTATCAGTTTCTTTTTGAATTACCCTATATTTACAGCTAAATAAGAAGGATTGAGATTACTTGTTGTTCAGCTGCCTGCAGACTTTTTTGCATCGCGGCTTGCCCTCTGCCGAGATTTATTTGGGCAATTTTGGCAATCTTATCTTTTATCTTTTCTGGAAGGGAATTGTTGTCCTTAGCAATATGCTGTTAAGGATCTGGCAATTCTATCCCATCTTTTCCACTCAGGACATTCTGGGCTGTAAGCTGGATGAATACATGCTTTGTGGTCTGGATTTTTATTGCTGCAGTTTACGCATTTTGGGGCTGCATTTCTATTATGGCACTCTCTTGTGTCATGAAATTCTGCACAATAGCCACAAAATGCCTTCTTCATTTTACATTCTTTTGCACAATGGGAGAATCCAAGATAGCGGTAAGATTGCACTAGCGGAGTTTGATCAATTGCTGGAACGATTTGAAAGCCAAGTCTTAGTCTTTGGTCTTTAAATTTACTCCATACCTGTAGGCTTGTCTCCAGAATTATGTTATTTGTAGAGCTAGTGCGACCTTTAACCCTCCTTATGACTTTAATATATATTTGTGAGTTCGGTATTTCTCTGAGTAAGGAGCCGTTCTGTTTAATTACAGCTTCTTCAATTTTCTTATCGTTTAAGTCATGAACGACCCCTATATTATATTAACGTATATATAATAAGTATATTAACCGCAACAGAGGATTTTTATTAGCAAGTCTTTGTACGGTTAATTTATTTGCACTGCTTCTGAGTTTTTCTTGCAGAACCTGTCTGTCGCTCTCAGTCTCGCAGCTTATCAGGACCTTTTGTTGCTTACATTTTTTAATGTAGTTCACTCCTATGCCCAATTCAATTATGTCAATTCCATTTTTGACTTGTTTTATTATGTCATCACTCGTGTTCCTAGGATCGGCTGACTCTATCATAATTGAGTAGTTTGGTCTTGCCGTTACCTCTGAATAAGAGCGAGAAAATGTGTTAGCTTTTTCGTGCATTTGTTTGTATGTTCTAGCGTTTCAATGTTGTTCTAATGTACGATTCACATGCTCCTCCTCATCACTAAGCGATCTCTCTTGGGCTGGTTGTACTCTTACTTCATTTCGTAGTCCCTGATGATGAGTCCGGAGCGGCTGATTCCACTGTTGTTTCTTGCAGCTCCCTGGTTTCTCGCCTAAGTTCCTCTATGCTGGCTTGTACAGAGGTAATTAGATAGTCTACAGGGACCTATTAAGATTTGTTACGTCCTCAATGACTTGGGATACCTGATGACGAAGGTCAGTTATGTCTCCCCGAAACTGCGATTTCATTTCTAGGATATGTTGCCGCAGCTCCTGGGAAACACCTAGAATGCACTCCTCAAGATCCATCTCTTGATCTGTTGGAGGATCGCGGGCCTTCTGAAGAGATCGTTCATTCTTTAAAGATTTTAGCTCGCTTAATACATTACGTATTTCATGTAAATATTCAGCAAAGTGAGGAGGGATGGTAGGTTCCTTTGTTGTGGAATAGCACTGAGGTTTCAAGCTCTCACGGAGAGTTCTAAGTTCTTCTATCAATATCTTTAGCTAGTTGGTTATGGAGGTAGACATTGATATCTCCTGTTTGACTGTAGTAACCTCGCGTTTGGTTTCCGTTATTGCAGTACATAAATCGTATGACAGAATCATTCTCTTAGATTCGGCTTCTTTTTGCAGTTTTTCTATGAGATATTTTAGTAGAGCATATTGACCCAGCGTCTCGTGCATGAATCTAGCGTGTCTCTGGGTTAGTCTCTCTGATTCTCGTGATACATTAAGCTTCTGCTTATTAGCTTCGAGCATATGCTGCAGCTATATTAGTAGTATAGTTGTAGCACGAATGGATCGATTCGAACGGGGGAAGACCACGCTCTCATAGAATACCAGCGTAAAATAGCAGCTTAACGCTGCTGTGTTTCGTATGGTGAGTGTAGAGAACCGGAGACCCTTTTTACTGGAAATGAGACAACGCATCTGCATTTTGATTTCTAATCGAGTATTGATGTGGATGTCTATGGGCCGCAGCAACCACTTACAATCAGGTAGACTGTGTGCTCGTTTGTCACCCTTATCCTATAAAAAAAAATTAATCAATGCAGATAGCTTATACGGTTTTCTTCGGGGTCGATCAGCTGGTGATCTTCTGGTCTACCTGACCCATAGATAGGCAGAGGCAGTATAGTCCAAGGGGGAGGCGTTGGCCGTTAGTTTGGACATTGCGAAGGCCTTCGATCGGGTTTGGCACAAAGCGCTTCTTTCGAAGCTCCCTTCCTATGGGCTTCTCGAGAAATTGTGCGATTGGATCACCAGCTTCCTTGCAGATCGGAGCATCAAGGTCGTTGTAGACGGTGCATGCTCCGACTACAAGCCTATTTACGCTGGTGTTCCACAAGGCTGTGTGCTATCACCAACGCTGTTTCTTCTGCATATCAATGATATGTTGCTAACTGGTAACATTCATTGCTATGCAGATCATGTTTTTTGTAATTCCGTAGAGTCTATGATTAGTAGTGGTCTGTGAAGAGCTATAATTGTAAATATATCATTGTTTTACCTTTTTCGCTTATACATATTCGTGTATGTATCTTTTTTCTTTTTTAATATTACTTTGATAAGATTATACCTTGCAAAGTTGTGGTGATGACCATATACTTTTGATATTTGAAGCAGCACATAGACTGTTGTTTCATAATTGTAGGTGATAAAGAAAGTATAATTCAAAATTGTTGTTTGTAATTTTAAGTGTATATTTATATAATTTTGTGCGATGATAGATAAAAACATCGTGAAAAAGCTTGCAAAAATCATAAATTCCCATCCATTATCCATCCAGTACAGCTTATAAAATTCCACTCCTGAACACAGGTCCCATAGTCGCCAAGCTTGGCAAACGGGTTGGTAACCGCAGGTTTTTATTATATTGAGTCGTTATCAGGAAGATGCTGCTGTCCGTCTCCTGCTTCATTTTCCCTCTGTCGCCTCTTACGATAACCTCGGGACGATATGGGGAAGTGGATATTCTTACACCGTCACTATACGGTTAACAAATATTTTCAGAATGAGTTTCGTTCTCTGTGTTTACATAATAATAATGTCACTTAGACCGACTTTTGGTCACGACGGTCAGTA